TTAAATTCTTCACCTCTAAGCCTGAAATAAATGCTCTTTTTTTGACTTAAAAAAATCAAGTCCCTGCTCTCTTTTAAGCCATTTTCTAAAAGCTCTATTCCAGGAAAGCTGCCACACCCATTATATTTCACTGAACAATGTGTCCTCCGGTGTCTTTTAAAACAGGTGACTTGAGCAGAGATCCCGGAACAGTCCACCTAAGCGGAGACTCTGGTTGCTTTTCACCTCCTTTTTTTCATGTGATCTGTGGGATCACATGCTCTGTCCTCTAGTATGAAAGCTCTGTTCTCCCTTCACCTTTCCAAGATGGCCTAAAAATTTTTCTTCCCCTCCACCTCTCTCCTACCCTCTCACTCTTCATAAAGGTGTTAACTTTGGGAAAGCAGTTCTTAGTTATTTACAACACAGTCCTCTGGCAGACTACAAGAATCCAGCGCAAAGCAAAAGAGAAAGGCAAAGAAAACCGAAAGCCCAGGCTAATTATTTCCCTCAATGAGAATCTTTGTTATCATAAGGCGGTGTTTTATTTAGGTTATAGTTCTTTAGAGCAGGTACTAAGCTATGTCTTCCTTGTGCCCGCCTGGAATGTGTTGAGGCTAATATTTTCCTTACTGAAACAGCAGCAAATCCAAAGTAGCAAAATAATGCTGATGGGAAGGGGAAACCAAGATTCCCAGGCGGAATCTTCATAGTCTATCTCAGAGACATGGGGCCAGGTTTGTAGACAATCTTTACATTATCTAATTATATAATTTTACTTCCTAGTTTGATGCCACAGTTTAAAACTGTACCTCATTTCCTTCCCTGGTTAATTTTTCTCCAGAGCTCTTTTCTCCTCTTATATGCTATAAAATTCACTTATTATTATAATTATTTTTTTATTGTGATTTTTTTTTCTTACAAATAGTTTATTGTCAAGTTGGTTTCCATATAACACCCAGTGCTCATCCCAAGTGCCCTCCTCCATCATAATCATTATTTTTAAATGATTCTTTTAAATGATGTTCCCTTTAGAATTTAAGCTCCTTAAGGGAGCTTAGTTTATTACTCATTCAGGGCCTGCAGTTGTTCTGACACAGGATAGGTGCACGATAAATATCTGTTGGATAAATGAATTATTAATCCTGATCAAAGTAATATTAATAAATAATAACTGTGATCAAGGGTTTTTTTTCTTACATGTATTTAATTTATAGAGAACTGGTTGGACATTTAGAATTATTTTGTGTAAATCTTCTAATTGGCTACAATATGACAATCGGACCTCTACAAAACTTTGATGGTCAAAAGCCACATGGAACCCATTTTTATCAGCATGATATGCTCTTCTAAACATACATGGGATGGGGCACCTGGGTGGCTCAGTGGGTTAAGTGTCTGACTTTTGATTTCAGCTCAGGTCATGGTGTCATGGTTCATGAGATCGAGGCCCGAGTCAGGCTGTGCACTAACTGCGCAGAGCCTGCTTGGGATTCTCTGTCTTCTCTGTGCCCTCCTCCTGTGGATGCGCACACTCTCTCTCACAAGTTAAATAAATGAACACTTTTTAAAAAGTTAAAAAAGAATAAACATACATGGAAGGATAAGCCTGTGCTGATGAGAATGGAAAATCTTCAGATTTCCTGAAGCAGGCAGACTTACTTGAGTCCCTAAACCTAAGGGTAAGGGTGTGGTTTGGCTGAGTATACTTCCAGGTGTTTCTAGCAGCAAGTTTAGGTGCTGCTTACCAGCCACATGAAATGCAGACACTCACCAGTTTTATATTCTTATTTCTGGACAAAACACTGTCATCCAAGTCCATGGTTCCTAGTACAAGATCAGGCAATTTATTGATTATTTGAGAGCTTCTCCTGTATTTGGGACTGTCCTAATCACAGGAGATGCTTCCCCGCAGGGACATGTCAGTGTGATTTGAGGACTGCAAGTGGCTACTCCAGCTCTTCCTTTCCCCCAAGACTCCTGCTTGCGGGGCCACTCTAGAGTAAGTGAAACTGGGCTAATCTGAGTAGTAAAGTTCACTTTTGGCCGAGATTTAGTAACCTCCTCTCACTTAGTGTGGCCTCTTTCAATAAATGGCCCAAAGAACTGATAAAAGACCAGATTCATCTAGAAGTAGGAGGAACAACTGGCTTCACTAGGCTTAAATTAAAACAGGAGGTTTGTGAGTGCAAAAAGATAGGGGATTTATAAGCCAATTCTCTCTAGGACTGCATTAATGACATTTGACTTATTTCTAAACAGAGGAAAGGTTGGTGAGTTTGTAAACATATGCAAATCACATAGAACACCTGGGCCACTCCTAATTATTTCATATATTTCAGTGTAAACTATACGTCTCGTGTACTATACGTCTACTGGTACATGAGGATTCACGAACTCCAAGTTCTAAATCTATCCATCCTTTAATATCTTGGCTAATTTATTTTAAGAAAACAGCTTTATTGATATGTAATCCACCCATTTAAAGTATATAATTCAATGGTTTTTAGTATGCTCACAGTTACATAAACATCACTGGTCAATTTTAGACCATTTTCATCACCCCAACAAGATACCTGTATCCTTTAGCTGTTGTTCCCCGTTCTTCCCCAATTCTACCCTTTCTTTCTGTCTACAGGATCGCCTATTGCGGATATGTTACATAAATGGAATCATACAATATTTGATCTTTTTCCACCTAGCATAATCTTTTCAATGTTCACCCATCCTGTAGCAAGTATCAGTACTTCATTCCTTTTTTATTGCTGAATAATGTTCCATTGTTCCATTCTCTATCATAAAATTTTATCCATTTTTCAGTCAATGAACACTTAGATTGTTTTCAGTTTTGGGCTATTTTGAGTCATGATGCTGCAAACATTTGTGTATATGTTCTTACATGGACACACATTCTAATTCTCTTGGATATACAGCGAGGTGTGGAATGGCTGGATTATATGGCTACTTTATGTTCAACTTTTTGAGAAACTACCAAACCGTTTGCCACAGTGGCTCACCGTCTCACATTCCCACCAGCAGTGTATGATGACTCCAATTTCTCTGTCTCCTTTCCAATGACTGTTACTATCTGTTCTTTCTTTATTATTATTATTATGGCACTTTTGTTGGTGTGAAATGGTATCTTATGATTTTGATCTTCATTTTCCTAATAACTACTGATAGTATGCACTTTTTTGTGTGTTGGTTGGCCATCTGCATGTCTTCTCTGCAGAAATGTCTATTCAATTCCCTTGCCCATTTTTAAATGACTTACTTGTCTTTTAGATGTTGAATTTTTCTTCACAGGCCTTAAGAATGAGGGGTGGTTCTCAGGAAGAGCCTCAGACCTTGTGCCTGTGCCAGTCTAGAAGAGAGCTTTTACAACACAAAGCTGGGGTGGTAAGATGCCGGCTGGTAGCCTGCTTTTCCCAGAGATATTCCATAGCCCTAGACTGGGATCTAAGCTGAGAGGGAGCGTTCTCAGAGGCACCCATCCAGAGTGGAACATGGTCCTACAGCTGGAGGACGGGTGGGGGTGGGTTGTGGCTCAAATGCCTCACACTCTTGCTGCTCTCCCTGAATTTTAGGAGGCTGTCTTGAATTAAGTTTTCTTCATCTGTTGTATTTCCTCAGGACAATTTCTAGAGACTAACTAGTTGCTGATCTATACTCTTTACCAGTTGATGTTTTGCTGAGGAGTGGGTTCATGGAACTCCTTACACACCATTCTGGAAGTTGAGTTCCATTTGGATAATTTTTTAAAGAAAATGTTTCACCTCGTATACCTGGTGGTAAAATAGTTTATACTGACATAGTAGATGTAGAATTATGAAGGGCAGTTTTTACAAAAGTATTTGCAAATTTATAAACAGTGGATTAAGAAAACTGATAGAAGTTGAGGACTGGTTGACTTTTAACTTTGTATCCAAATTTGAGAATGCACTTGGTCTGACAAACCATTCTTAACTTATTGTTATTAAATAGCTGAATGGAAATACTTGAAAGATGAGGGTGATAATGCATTTCAGGCGAGAGCTTATTGTTGCTCTAGTAATCTGTGTAGAAGGCCACCACTGCCATTGAAATTTATCAAAATGATGCCTGTTTTTAAAAGCATAGGAATAATTAAAACGTACAAATCAAGTTATGAAAAGCTCATTAGATTTATGCATTTTCTGAAAAGTTTGTAGGCAAAACTGACCATATATTTCTTCATTAATTCAGAAGAACTACCACACCACTCTGTCTTTTCAAAAAACAACTTTCTCAATTTCCCTGATGAATTTATTTGTAGTTTTAGGGCTAAGATTTACATTTAATAATTTTTCAAATCCTTTATTGAATCATGGGCTGAACTCATATCTGTTCATTGCCAACCAGCTGAATGTCACTTTAGTTGAGACAGACCTAGAAGACCGTTTTCTTCCTATTCCTCACATCCCCACCCGCATAGCAAAGTTGACTGTTCCTTTCTCCTGGGGTTTAGAAGTCTAGTTGCTTATAAATAATCACATAAGCATCTTTGAGAAAATAGGTACTGCTTAATAATCCTGAGAAAATGTTAAAATGTATTCCTTATTAGAAATTCTTCACTTTTTGGCCAGTTGGCTTCTGTGTATTACTGCCTAAAGTAGCTTTATGGGCAAAAAAGTATTGTATAAAGAACATAAAACTAGAATACTTAAGAATAAAACCAAGCATCTCCCAATGATATTTCCTGAATAGTTACTCAACTACCCAAGGATAAATCATGAAAGTAATTAGTAAAGTAATTTTCTCTTGTTTTGGCTGGGAAAGTTTCAATAATAAAGTTTGGTTTCTGCTGAGTTGAAACCTCTTAGTCTCTAACACAGTTAAAGGCAAATGGAAAAACCCATTCAATCCTTAATATTTTAATGCAGTTAAATAATAAACTGATAAATTGCATTAAAGCTAGGATTAATTTTTCCCCTATAAAGGCAAGAATTCTATCCTAGCAAAGCTACTTTAGCGTTCAAGCATATATTTTGGAAGATGCTTACCTCCCGGTTGGGTGTATCTCCCTGCGGCTTAGGTGAGCACCCAAGCTTTGGCTCCTCCCCAGCTGCTGCGAGCTTCCCACTGCGCCGGGTGCCTCAGAGCCTCCTGGAGTTAGGTGTTCGGCCCCGCCCTCTGCACTATTGCTAAAACTCCAATTCTGCCAGACTGATTCCGGTGATTAATTATTGACAAAAGGAAAACACTCCCACGCAAACTTGTGTCCAACCGCACTGCTCCCAGCGATTCCTTCCAGAGGAGAATGCCGGCTGCACCACTCCCCTCCCCCCCCCCCCCCCCCCCCCCCCCCCCCCCCCCCCCCCCCCCAACTTCCCACACCCCCCCACTCTCCGTCCTGGGCGATCAGGCTCGTCCTCGGAGGAATGCAGCCCAGCGACTTCTACATTTTTAAATTTGGTTTTCTGCAGCTCGTTAGCACTTCTCCGGGGACCAGCCTCTCTGGAGGGGGCGCTTTCCGGATGCAGGGGAAGCCGGGGCTCCGAGAGCCACGGAGGAGGCTAAGGCGTCGCTGTCACCTCCGGCTGCCGCAGTAAAACCCCAAGCCGCCGCGCGGATGGGGAGGAGGGGACAGAGAGGTGTCCTCCCCCTCGCTCGGGCTGGGAGCCCCGACACTACCAAAGGGGCATGTCCTTTGGTAGTGGGGGGAGGGGGCGGGCAGATAAACAGGAGGCCCGGGGTGGTGGCTTCGCGGCTTCAGCTAAGCCGGCGTTAAGCCGCCCGGGGGCAGCCTGCCCAGCATCCTTCCCTCCGCAGACCTGGGCGAGGGGCGAAGCTCGGCGAGCGCCGCGCACGACTGCGGCGCGAAACTCGGCGGCAGGCTGAGAAGTGAGCCGGGTCGGCAGAGCAGGCGTCCCACTGCATCTGTTTGTCAAAAATCGAAGAAACTAAACCCGTGTGAGCCTCGGCAGCTGATTTTCGTGCCTTTGAACGCGCAAAGCTGCCTCTCCCCGCCCCACTCCCTCCATCCCGCCGCCTTCCCTCCGCCCCGTGGCCGGGAGGTTAATCGTTGAAAACCTGGACTCCCCCGGGGAAACAGATGCAAGGATCGTGCCCGGGGAACTTGTGTGTGCTCACTCACAAGTGGAGAGAAGGACTGTGGGCCCGGACTGCGGCAGGCAAGCAAACTGGGGACCAGGGGGCTGGGAGGAGGCCGGCCGCTGCAGACGCGCGCGGCGCGGGCTCGCGCGGATCCGGGGCCGGCGCGCCCGGCGCTCGCGCGCCGCTCTCAATTCTCTTCCCGAGGAGGCGCGGGACCGGCGACGGCATCTTCCCTGGAAACCAGCATCCAGAACACCATCGATCCCTCCTCTCCCGAGGGCAGGTGCTTGGATTTAACGTGGCGGCCGCCTTGCTGAGAGCGCACAGGCCCTTGAGCTCCCAGCCCTGCTAAGTCCGCAACTGAGCCGATCTGCCCGAGACCCAGGGGCGTCCGGGGGCCCCTTTTGATTAGTGAGCATTTGGGCAACATCTGCCAGTCAGCCCCCGCTGCTTAAGGAGGAGGCCCTGCACATGCTCAGCCAGGGCTCGTTGTGCTGAAGCGCGAATTTTAGCTGCTGGCAGGTTTCTGCTCATTTTCACAACACTCTGCCAGCAGGTTCCAGGCTGCGGGTGCCGCGAAGAGGGAGACTCGCGTTACTGGGCGGGGTTTCCTCCACGCAGGACGGAGTGTGTCCCCAAAGGAAGCTGGAGGTGGTTGAGATTCGGGGAAGGAAACCACTCGGAACTGAGCGCTTTGGAGCCTGTGTTGGCCGTTTTTACATCGTTATCTTGCCCTTCTCCTGTACTGCCCCTAAATATTAGCCACCATTGCTAGTATTTATTTTTTTAATTTCATTATCACTTTGTGTTGTTCACATTCCTTATCTTCCGGCTTCTCCTGACAAACCTTGTAATTTTGGGCAGAGCAAGTAAGACTACATACACCACTGGGGGAATGAGGAAAGAGAAAACCTGAAAAGTGACTTGTCCAGGGTCACCAAGCCTGTTGTGCAATACAGCCAATGCTGTTTACACTAGTTTTTAGGCCTCATTATTCATTATCTAGTTTTCTTACTAGATCTTGACTCACCCCACGCCCACCCCAACATGTGATTCTACCTTCGTGGAAATATAGAAACAGGTCTCACTTCTCCCTGTCAAAGGTTTATGAAATGGATTTGAGACCTTGCAATTACTTCAACTGGAGTTTGGGAGAAACTGGTACAGTTGGCAGAAGTGTCCAGACCATTAAAAATAATCTTAAATGATATGTGTGTAATATAACCACACCCGGATAAACCTTTATGTATATCTTTTTACCTTCAGGTGGAAAATAGATACTTTTTTTCTATCTAAACATAGAACATTCTCAAAACTTAACTAGGTTATGAAATCAAAATCAAGAGATTTTATTTATTTATTTTAATATTTATTTATTTTTGAGAGAGAGAGACAGAGTGCAAGCAGAGAAGGGGCAGAGAGAGAGGAAGACATAAAATCCAAAGGAGGCTCCAAGCTCTGAACTATCAGCATAGAATGGGATCTGGGGTTCAAACTCACAAACTGTGAGCTCATGACCTAAGCAAAAGTTGGAGGCTCAACCGACTGAGCCACCGAGGGGGGCCTCAAAATCAACACTTTTTATTTTCATTTTTGAGAGTGAGAGAGACAGAGCATGAATGCGAGAAGGGCAGGGAGACTGGGAGACACAGATTCAGAAGCAGGCTCCAGGCTCTTGAGCTGTCAGCACAGAGCTGATGCAGGGCTTGAACTCACAGACCATTAGATCATGACCTGAGCTGAAGTCAGACGCTTAACCGACTGAGCCAGGCAGGCACCCCAAAGTCAACACATTTTAAAAGGCAGAAATCATACAGTCCATGTCATCTGTCAAAGCAGAATGAGGATAAAATTAACAAGAAAAATTCCCTCTCACCGATATACAACCAAACATTTAAAAATACTTTAAATACAGATTAAAAGAAGAACAAATAAGATTACAAAATCTTTTTTTAAAGTTTATTAATTTTGGGAGAGAGAGAGCACTGCACACATCCAAGCAGGTGAGGGCCAGAGAGAGAAAGAGAGAATCACAAGCAGGCTCCGTGCTGTCAGTGCACAGCCCAAGTGAGGCTCAATCTCACGAATGGTGAGATCATGTCCTGAGCTGAAATCAATAGTAGGACACTTAACTGACTGACCCACCCAGGCTCCCCCCAAAATCTTTAGAAACAGAAGAAAAAAGTCATACATAACAAAATCAGCAGAGTGTAGATAAGCAGAAATCATAAACCTTAAGTGTGTTTATTACAAAACAATGTAGAAACCAAGAAACTTAGGGGAAAAATTACAAAAGAATTATGTTAATTAGTAAAGATGAAAGCAGATATTAATGAAATAAAAAAGTAAAATTCCAGGAGAATTGATCAATAAAAGAAAAAACTTATTCATTGAAGAAATCAAGAAACAAAGACGCAGTAACATTAGGAAGGAAAGATGGAATATGGCCACAGATAAGGCGGATGTTAAAAAAAAAACAACTCTCAAATGATGTTCTTTCCCCATGAAGAAGATTCTCCCTTTAGGCTGATAATTACAAACTGCAAGATAAGAAATGGTTAAGACACCCCACCTCTTATGGGAAGGGAATAAGATTTAAAGAACCTGAAAGAATTGTTTAGAATATAATAGTAGGAGAATTTGAAGTAATGATAATTGTATCAACTGAACATTTTGAACCAGGCCTTTTGTCATTACCATAAAGCAGCTGTTGCATAACTAAATAACCCATGCTTGCTGAAGTAGAAATCTTTCAGAGGCAGTAAAAGTTAAAAGTAATAAAAGAGTATATTCCCCTCCATAACCTGGGAGGTCTGGGGACACATATTACAGGGAAGGGAATGGGATCACTTTATAAAAGCTGTAATGATTGATCCAGAAAGGCTGTTTGGACTTTATCTGGAGTTCAGCATACCAGGGAGGAGAGAGGACCTGGTGTGAGATTTTACTTAAAACAACCAGCTGTCAGGTACAAGATCTGGTGCGCATCTGCTGAGGATGGTTTTACTTCTGGGGGAGCAAAATTAGCAGTTTGAAATGTGAGTTTTCTCAAGCTTCCAAATTTAACCACGGTGGCCTGGTGGAAAGGGTTATGGACTTTGGGACATAGTCCCAAATAGTCCTGGGTTCAAATCCCAGCTTTTCTACTAACAGACTATATTTCTGAGACATATTATCTCATATCTTTATATCTCAGTTTTCTCATTGTGACATGGGAATTATACTGACTTCACAGGGTTCTTCTGAAGAATAAAATGAACCACCATTTACCAAGTACCCATATAGTTCTCCATCTTCCCCTCCCCCCATCCCTTCTCCCCTTGGCTTCCTTCCTCCATTCTGCCTTCTCTAAATACTTATCTTTCAGAACTTCTCTTCTGTGCTTTGACATTTCTCCTATTTTGTTAGTGGGACTCTATGTTCCTTCCCTTCCTTTCAGTGACTCAGCCACCTCCTTCATGACTCTAGCAATCAGAAATCCAAGCATTATGACGGAGCACCTTCGGAGTACTTTAGAAAGAGCCCGCTAAATTGAAAATTAACTCAGCCCCTCACTTATAAGATGCATGGCTAACACAGGATTGCCCCCTCCCTGCCCTTCCTTCCTCCCCCCCCCCGCCGCCTTCCTTTATTTCCTTCTTAATTTAATGCATTTTCTGAGCACCTATGGAGCTATGCTCTAGCAACATGAGTGACATTGCTCTGACTCACTGATTCCTGTGTAACAGAAATGCGTATGCTTAAGCTGAAGTCTTTCATTGTGGAAAGACCCTAACCCTTAAACATTCTCAATGTTAATATTAGAATAAAGCTCATATGAATAATGAGAGTCAGTAGTGTGTTATAAAAATTGGAAAAGCGGTTTTTCATTATGGAATGATGTGGCTGTCCCATTAATTGTCACAAATATGTGAAATGTATCATAATAGGCACCATTCCTGCCCTTAAAAGGATACTTCTTAGCAATAAGAGAACCCAGAAGAATACAGAAACCCCCAGAGCTGCTGTAAGACCAGCTTAGAAGATTTCCTGCAGCATCTATTCTAGAGCAGTCTCACTGTCTTTACATACACTATCCAATGTGTATTTACATCTATTTGGACAAGACAAAGAAGACAATGGAAAGCGAATGAAATCAAGAGAAAAAACTAAAGTTCCAATTAACTACATCAGCAACATCTCCCTTTAACTATTAACTCTTATTCA